TTATAGTCAGCTATTATTATTATGATAGTCAGGTCAGGTGTATGGTCTTTATGATCACCCTACTACTGGTAACCCAATTCCTCTTATTACACCCTACTATTGTAACCTAGTTCAACCATGTCCTGTCGACTTGTGGGATTTGCTTTCTATGAAAAGGTTTGAAGGAGTTAGCTTCCTGTCTCAGTACCATTTAAAATCGGTCTTTCCTATAGTAATATATAATTTTTAGTAATATATAAATTTTTTTTGGGTGTCATTTGTAAAGTTAGAGGTGCCTTAGTTACTGTTTTGGTTCACTTGTAATCTACTTTATTTGTATATTTGTGTTCTATTTAAACTTTTAGTGTGGTGTTGGCATGCTTGTCTTCTCCATAAGCTCATTTCATATGGTGTATCTGGGAAAGATTACTTTTTGACGATTTGAGATTATTAAATCATTTTGATTTTAATCGTTTTGATTATAACGATTTGAGATTATCAAATTGTTTCTTTCAAACCACTTTATTAAAGTCATCTTCAAAGGCCAACACCATTCTTTATTTTCAGTAACTTCTGGGGTACCTCAAGGTTCTATCCTTATCTACATTAATGATCTTCCCAACAACCTTACATCTAAAGTAGCTCTTTTTGCTGATAAAAAGTCTTCTCTTTTTGATCACTTAGAACAGGCAGCTTATCTTGAATCTGATAACACTTCTGTAACAGATTCGGGCTCATTGGCTTGTAAATTTTAACTTTTAACAATATAACTTAGTTATTTACTGCAAACAACTATCACAGTGCTGTCAACATTCCTATATTAATGAATGATAATCTTCTCACTGTGTCCTCATCTTTATGCCTTATTTTTATTATATCTTATGATTATTTACTACTGACCTTTCATAGAAACCATATATACAGTTGATTGCTAATTATTTCATATTTGGGCTGGTTCTTCTGAAGATGCTCTTTTTGTAATTGAGCCGTTCTATCTGCTAAGCTTTCCCATCGTCGTAAAGTTGCATCTCTTTCTTTTTTCTACAAATACTACCATGGTCGCTGCTTTCTTTTAGTTGATGAAACTAGAAAGGAGCTTTTCTCTCTAGTTTCATCAATTAAAACTCATTCTCGCTTGACTCGTCATTAAGCAAAGTCTTATTCTTTTACTGTATCTATCTCTACATGTTCTAAAAACTTTTGTCTAGCTTTTTTTTCCTGTACTTCAACCCTTTGGAATTCTCTCCCAACTTCATGTTTTCCTGACTCATATAACCTTCAACTTTTCAATTTATTTTCTCAACCATTTCCTTGCTCTATAACTCTATTCTTTTTTTTCTAGTAACTCACAACTTAATAGTAGTAGTTGCATTCTTGTTAGGGGTGAATCAGAACAAAATTGAGAAAATAAAAGTTCTGCAACCCATTAGTAGTGAAGTTTTCATTATTAAATACTTCTCAATGATTTTTGAACTTTTATCTGACACTGCACACTGTGATCAACTTGCAATAAATGTAAAAATAAACCAAAACTCATTTGCTTGGCTTCTTATTCAACAAGTTGCATCCTTTTACTGTATCTGTCCCTTAATGCTATAAAAACTTTTATTAATCCAGTTTTTTTTCCCTTGCACACCAAAAATTCTTATAACTCTTACTCGTCTTTTTGTTTTCCTTTTTTCATAAAACTTAATAGTGGTTGCTTGCAATCTTGTTGGAAGTAAATTTGAGTTTAAAAATATATAATCATATGCCAGTATTTAATATATAGTAAATGTATGTATAGTTTATAATCCAAAAAGTATTAAAATTTTTTTTCTAACTTTGGCTATCAACCCTTGTTAAATCTTATAATTTTGCCAGGTCTGCAAAAAGTCTCATTTTTAGCCAGGGACGGGGCCAGGGCTCCAGCCACTTCCTATTTCTTATTGACATGATAGAAAGGCTACAGCCAATGCATTTAAGAAAAGATTGAGCAAGCTTGGCTTAGAGGGTTCTCGTTGTCAATGAAATAACATTGCATCTAAAGTTCTCAAGCATTGACTTAATTCTTTGTGCACTACAACCTTTAAATTTAGTTGACGTAAATGCTGTTGAAACCTGTGAGACAGCATCCGATTTCATTGGATTTCTGCAATATCAGTATAACTTCTATGCTTCTTTTACTCACAATGGCAGATATTTGTTCTGGTCTTGTAAGTGGTGCAGTAAAGGACAAAAAAGTTACTATCAAAAGCCTAAGTGGGACAAAGTGGTAAGCAAGAGTCATTTTGACTAAAATTTGATTGGAAGGTCTTAAGAATATGAATTTTATTTTTGCAAATGAAATTCTTAAGACCTTCCAATCAAATGTAAAATTTTTAAAAATATAAAAGTTCTCATCAATAGTTTTGGATAAAAAAGAAAAACATCACAAATTGACACTTTGATAGAAAATTAAGACTGATAGAAAATTAAGTTGCTTTGGCGATGATGACTATTTTATGTTACTAGTATCAAACTTTAAATTGTCCCTAATTTTTTTACATAGACAAATTGAAAATGTGCTTGAAAGAAAGGTTTTTGGCTAACAAGTCTGGGGTATCTCTAGCAGAAAGAGAGCAAGTTTATCTTACTAGTTTTTTGACCATGGCCATTCTTTTCATTGTTGCTAAATCTTTGTGTACTATTTCCTTCATACTTAGATACACAATTCTTTGATAAAGTTGTTCAGTTTTCTGAGTTTATGGTAAACAAGAAGAATATATTAGCACCAGGATGTGTACAAGCAATTTCTAGGAATAAGTTAGAATAAGTTTTTGATGTTGCATATTGGATTTTTCTAATCCTTCCTATTACCAATTATTGTAGTGCTGAAATGCTTTTTGTTTAATGACAAGTGAAAGAACTCTGTTACCAAATATATACTTTGAAGATGTCGTAATTAAATTTGCCAACGTTAAAGCAAAAAATTTCTTTGTGAATAAAAAAGTAATTTCTTGTTTTGCTGTATTCTTTTTTAAATATATTTTTTTAGAAATAGGGCCCCCAAATATTTTTTTTGCTCCCAAGACCCTTAATCTGGTCTAAAGAATTTGCTTAAATTTAATCTGTACACTGCAATGACTGTAGTCAGAGCTTAAATTTAAAATAAAAAAACGAAACCACTGACGAAGACATATTAAAGAAATTTTTTCAGAAGGTCTAATGGTGATCCCTAGCAAATTGTCAGGCGAACTCTGTTGGGGTCGTGGCCCACAGTTTAGGAACTGCTGGTCTAAATGCATTATATTTTTTGAGTTTTCTCAAATTGATACAAATTTATATAATTTATTATAACTAATATATAAAATATATAACTCATTACATAATATAAAAATCATTATGCAATAATTTAGTGCATAATAAATTTATATTATATATATGAGTTTGAGCAAAAGAAAAAAAAATGCAGTTTTAACATTTAAAAAGAATGTTTTAATTTTTCAAATGTATTTTTAAAATGATTTAATATTATAAACTGAATTTTAAATTATAGCTTAAACAGGAAGACATAGCATTGACTAAGAAAATGATTTACAATGAAATTTATTTCAATTTGTTTTTTCCTAATGGCATTTTTATAAGAAACTGATTTTTATTTAAAAAAATAATAAGTTAGTTTAATATAATTAAAAACATTTTTTTTTAACAAAAATCATTCTTTTTTTTTCTTGCAATAACCTTTGAAAAGCCATTCAAAAATGCATTTTTAAAAGCCTTTGAAAAAGCATTGCAGTTTATTATGTAGTAATTAGTTTATTTCTAAAATGACTCAGCGTTTGTCATCTTAAATACAACAATGATTTTTTTTTTTTTAATAAACTTGACCATAATTTCATAATTTTTTAATGAAAAAATTATGAAATTTATGAAAAAGATATACAGCGAGAGCTGTAAATTGGTCCCCTAAACCAAAATTTACCTTTTCATTTTCAATCCCTCAACTTTTTTTCACAATTTAAAACCCGTCTTTTTGACTTATTGATAGAAAAATACTCTAATTAAAATCTTAGGCTTATAATATATAAGTTATCCATTTTTTTCTATTAAGTATTTTGAAGTCTTAAAGTTTTTCTGTTTATTTTGTATTTATTGGTTTCATTTAATATACATTTATAAACATAATAGATTTTTTAAATTTTAATTATAGGTTTTACTAAAATTAAATTTAATATTATCAATAATTGTTTTTATTTCATAATAGGTTGTTATGTTTACACAGTATATAACTCTTTGCAAATTTTTCTTATCTGTGTATATATTTATTGAATTGTTGTTTGAAAACTAATTATTTTTAATATTATTATATAATTATCTTATTTTTTTATAATCTTTTATTTTTATAAATAAAACTATGTTATTTTAATCATTAATTATATGGTCATTACTTACAACTAGTCATCACATGACTGTAAGATTATTTGTCTTTTTGTTGTGAAATATCTTGACAAGGGTTACAAACTGTTGAGTACAAAATAAGATTTTTTTCAGTAAATTTATTCAGTTTATAAATTTATTTGTTCACAAATATTTCTTCTAGAAGTACTATGTTCATGTCTCCTTCCTTACCAATATCGTTTACAGGGCTAGAGCCTGCATTGAACCTTGGGACTCTTGGTTCTGAACCAGAACTTTAACTACTGCGCCAAAGCCACAAAGTCTAAGATTAGTAACTTAATAATTGATTAGTAACTTAAAAATAATAATATAAAATTGGTAACTTAAAAACAATCTTATAAGATTATTAACAAATTCTAATTGCATATAATAGGAATAAAACTTAATGTTGTCATTTTTAATTTATTATTCTCACTTTAGTTTTTTTTGTCTTTATCTTAATTACTAATTTCCTGAAGCATTTTAATATTTTTTATTTAATATAAAAATCAATAGATGAAATGTTGATATGATTATAAATTACCTTTGAAATTCCACGTACAGTGCAGATTTTAAGTTTATTTTCCATAATCTGCAGACAGTGGAATAAAAGAGTAAAATCTGTAGTTTCATTGAAGTGAAATTCACTAGAAATAGTAGTGACAGAAAAAAACAAATATCATAAACACTTAATGTTCTATTTTATATAATTTTAATAAATAACATTTTATTTCATATAGTAAATAACATATATATCGATGATTAAGAGTACAAAGGGAATATGTCCAACATTAAACATTAAACAAATTAGGTATTAAAGTATGTAAAAGAAATGAAAATAAAATAGTAAAAAACAAGACAGAATTAATTGAGGAATGAATTTGGTTAAAAATCATGACAATAAATAAATATCATGAATTATTGTATGTTTTTAAACTTTCAAATTCAGATTTCTCAAAACAATGGTTAGTGGACATATTCCCTTTGTGCTCTTAACCATCGATATTTCAAATAATAACATTTTCCAATGATTACATTGTATCAAGCATAAGTATGCCAAACCAATTTTTTTTTTTTTTAATAAAAATCAAATGGTTTGGTAAAAATATATTGTTAAAAAGGTGTCATGTATCATGTGAAAAATGTTGTTAAAAAAGTGTGTGGTTTTTTAATGTATTTTACCTCCTCAATGATGAGAGGGCTACTACAATCAAGGAGAGTATTTTATTGTGGTACAACATTTTTTAACTCTTGTTATATATACATGTTATATGTGCAAAATGTGTTTTTAAAAAAGTGTAAAAATAATTTTTTTTGGTTGGGTGATTTACTGCAGTGGGTTACTGATGCTAAAGTTATTTTCCTGAAATAGTTGACAGTACAAAAATTTATATAATTGTTAAATGGAAATGTCTTAAATGTTTTTTCTTTTAAAAATTACAAAATTTACTGTTACATAAATATTAGTAACAGTATCATTTTGAGTTTTTAATAAAAAGTTTTCTTATTTTAAAATCAACACTTTAAAAAAAAAAATCTTTTTTCTGAGTATTGAGTTTAACATAAGGGAAAATATAAACTATTAAAAAATGTTTTTATAATCTTTTAGAACTTTTTTTAGAACATTGGTGTCAAGTTTTTTTTAATGTTTTTTTTTTTTTTTATAACATTTTTTTCAAGTTTTTTTTAATGTTTCTATAATGGTTTGATAAAGAAAAATGAAATATATTACAAAGATATATAAGTGAATTTAAATTTGTAGGAAACAAATAGAAACTCCATTGAATTTGACAATAAAAAATCTAATAAAGCTGTTTACAATGCAGAAATGAATAATATTGAAGAGAAATGTGATAATGATGGTAGTAATCTAACAATTATAGATGAGTTGAAAAATATAAGAAAAGTATTTATTCATACTTTTTTATTTTTATTAAATTAGTATTTCTATTATTTTTTACTATTTTATTTTTCTAAAATTTTTTTTAGCAACTTAAATTAGCAAACAATGATTTCAACTACCTTAAACAAAAGAATTACAGCACAGAATCAAATAAAAATGTTTATGAAGAATCAAGTATAAAAACAAAATTGAAAAAGCAAGAACAGTCAATTACTGATCAAGTAGATTTCATTTTTTATACATTTCTTTATTTGATTAATTTATTTATTTTCAAATTAAGTTTTCTTTTTTTTTTTACTCATTTTTAATGTACATTAATGTGATAACATCCCAAAATTAAATTTAACTAATTTACAATTTATCCAGCAGCCATTTTGTGAGTTTAACAAGCAACTTGCAGCAATAAGCTCACAATTGAAAAAGATTGAAGCTAGTAAAAGATCATACGAAGTTGCTGTTCATAAACTTTTAAAGTTTACTGAGGTGTGTATTTATTAGTTAATTTAAATGTGTGCATTTATTAATGAAGTGTATTTACTAATGAGGTGTGTATTTATTAATAAGGTGGGTAAATATTGCTGGTTGTAGAAATTTTTCTACAATCAACAATTGAACTACATTAACTATTTATAAATGTTTTTTTAGATGGTTCATATGTTTACAGAAAGTGAATCAAAGAAGATTTTAAAGTAAGACTTTAATTTACTTTGAAAGTCTTTTCCTTTTTTTCTTTTCTTTTCTTTTTTTCTTTTGATTTATTAAACCAAATAAATAGACCATTTTTATATTGATTATATCAGCATGGTATCATTGATCATATCAACCAAAATCTTGTTATCATGACATCATTTCAAGTTTTATATCAGCATGGTGTCATCAATCATTGATCATATCAACTAACCATCATGGTGTCATGTCATTATGTCAAGTTTCATATCAGCATAGTGTCATCAATCATTGATCATATCAACCAACATCATGTTATTATGACATCATATCAAGTTTCATATGAATTAAAGTTAAGTTTATAATTTTTTTTTAAAATTTAAAAAATGAAATTGTTTTGAATAAATTGACTTTTATTTTATCAAAATTAATAATTTTTTATGCAATTAAGTCTAAATAAGTTTAAATATAAAAAGAGTTTTTAATTACAAAATGATTACTTTTGAAATTTTAATAAATTTTTTATAAATTTTATATTTATAATTATTTTATATAAATTAGAATTTCAAAAGCTTTTTACTTTGTCATTTTTGTGTCACTTAGTTCGGATTTGATTTTATTAAAACCAGTATCATTATTTACTATTTTATTAAAATCATTTTCAGATTTAACCAGTTCTTTTTGAGAGACTGGGACTTAGATTCCTTTTTATTTTTCCAGTTGATAAATATGCCTCTTAGTTTATCTCTTATCTTTTTCTTATCTTTTTTTAGTTCCATATTAAGTTTTTTCATGTTAAGGCTTTCATTTTTTATCTGGAATTTTTTTAAATAACATCTTTTTGTCATTGTAAAAAAAAATTTTAAAAGGATCAAACAGAGGACAAATTCCATTAAGTAAATCTTTTTTTTTTATCTAAGAAACTAAACTCTGGTAAATTTCTAGCAAGTCTTTAATATCAAATAAAATATAAAATTAATTTAATATTTCTTTTTTTTTTTTTTTCATAAGAGGTTAGTCTTTGTAATAGTTTGAATCAATCATATATTATGTCTAACTTGCTTATATTAACTAGATGTCTAACTTGCATATATTAACTAGATGTCTAACTTGCATATATTAACTAGATGTCTAATTTGCATATATTACTAGATGTCTAACTTGCGGATTTTATTGGACGAAAAATGAAGCCGCTTTTTTTTGTTTATAAATATATTCCGCTATTTGTAAAACAAAAACTATATCTTCCGCTAGAACTCAAATATTTTTACCAAATTTATAATCTTCTTTTAAAACTTTGAATCTTCCATTAAAATTCAAAAATTTCCATGAAAAATTAAACTTTTGAAATCATCAGATGGTCGATATGATGTTGAAGTATTTTAGTAATTTAAAAGTTTAGCACATGTGAATAAAAAACCTCTTGACCAAGCAAAATATATTACTATATTTTAATTAATATTAAAATGTAAATATCTTTAATTAAGAAATGAAACATTTAAAAAAATGATACATAAATTAAAACTTGTTTAACAATTATTTACCATTTTCATTCGCAAAACGGTTTTACAAATTTCTTTATTGTCAAAGCTTTGTTAATTAAGAATGTTTTGAAACTAAAAAGATAAGTTATTTATAAATTTTGTACCAAGTTGTGCTCAGCTCTATTTATATAGTTTGAGGAGGTGTATGAGGTGTATTTATGAGGATGTATAGGAGGTGTATGAGCATAAGCTGTTCAATTAAAACTTTAATGTTACAAGTAATTCCAATGTTTTGATGTTCCAAATTAAACATTAAAAAAAAATCTTGTTTTTTAGTGGCCAGACTAAACGATTGCAAAAGAAGTTAACAAAGTTATGCAACGATTCTCAAGATATTATAAAAGCTGTGAAACTTATACTAGATGATGAGCGTAAGATTTTTAACTATTTTTGATTGTTATTTCAAATTTTTAAATAACATCAAATGCATTTGCAATAAACTGTTAAAATTTGATGAAGGATTTCAGGCTTTAGTATATAATAGGAAACATGTTGGTGCATATATATATATATATATATATATATATATATATATATATATATATATATATATATATATATATATATATATATATATATATATATCCACAACACAAAATTTTTTAAATGGTATTTAAGTCCATCCACAACACAAAATTTTTAAAATGGTATTTAAGTAGTATTTGCAGGAAGTAGCATTATGATTTTCTGAATTTTTTGAACATTATGAAGCTTTCTAGAAATTTTTGTAAAGAACTACAAACAGCTCAGGAAAAATTTAATGAATAATAAAGAAGTGATTACTGAAACAGCAGGGCGACGTGATGATATAAAGTTTTTATTTTATTTAGTATTTTGCTTTTTTGAAGAATTAGGAAATACTCCAGGTATTTCCTAATGTGAAGTTTTAGAAAATATAATAATAATGCAAGATGGAATTCCCAAGCAATATTAGCTCTTTTGGCATTTGTCCTTCTACCAGAGAGAAGAGACTCACTATTTGATATTTGTAGATTTATCTCTTACAGATGGGTGAACCATTGGTTTACTGACCAAATGTAAATATTTATCAAAAGCTGTGTAGCAGCTTGCATGGTCACAAAAAAGTGTTAAACTCTTTAAAAAAGTGCAAAAGTTTTGGAATCAAACTGAGACTGGATTCCCAGAACAAATCAGTGTGCAGAACGAGCTAAGTATCTTCAAAATCTTTTATACATCTGTAAAAAGAACAAGAACCTCCTGCTTAGATTTAATTTGTCTAACAAAGTGTGAGAATTGAATATTACGCTTTAATTTTTTTTTTAACATCTTTACTTCCAACAAGACTGCAAGCAACCACTATTAGAGTTGGAAGTTACTGGAAGAGAAAAGATGATTTATAGAGCAAGATAACAGTTAACAGATGACTTAAAAGATTGCAAATTAAGCTAAATACTACACAATATTTTTTTGATATTTACAATAGCTTTTCATACTTGCAGAATTGATATTTGAGTTTGTAATTTTATATTTATTTGTAATTTATAGTGTTATTATGTAACAACAAAACTGTTAAATGCCTAAAAACTATATATTAACTCCTCAATTAAAAAAATTAGAATTAAAAAATAAAGATTATAAAATTGTTTGAAATTTTATTCATAATGTATATATGGTAAATTCAAATTTTTGTTATGTGGGTGACCTTTTTCAACAAAAAATTCAAATTAGTGTATTTTTTGTTACTTTTGTACATTTATCAATTTATGACCCATGAACATGATGTTACATAAAAGTCATATATATATATATATATATATATATATATATATATATATATATATATATATATATATATATATATATATATATATATATATATATATATATATATATATATAGAGAGAGAGAGAGAGAGAGAGAGAGAGAGAGAGGATATTCTAGTAAAAGATTTAGGTGGCAGTACCCCCCTGTTCCTAAAAAATTTAGAAAAAATAATGCAGAATATCAGCGTTTTTTCTCAAAAAAACAAACAATATTTGCTGTAATAACGTAGAAAAATAATAAAAAAGGTCCTCAATTTTTAATTTAGGTAGCGCCCAAATACGGTTGATATATATATATATATATATTAATATATTAATATATAATTTTTAACAAAGAAATGCTTTTCAATTTGTTTTTGATTTAATATTAGATTGAAATGTTGTTCCTTGCAAAGAAAGAATATTTAAATTGATTTATGCCATCATTGTGTTAAAATCTGATTCTACATTATAACTGATGTACTTTTTTGATTTTTTTTTTTTTTTCTTAGAATTAATAATAAAATTTGATATTGAATTATTTTAATTTTTATTCTTTACTATTATTGGTAATATTATTTAATAAATATTAATCTCAAGTGATTTTAACTAAAAACTATTAAATGCGTTTGTGATCCTGCCACACTTGTCTGTCATAATTCCTGTGATAATTCCTGCCACACTCGTCTGGAAAGTTTGAAACAGAAGTTTATTTCCAAATGGGTGTTTTGAAAACTAGTGTTCAACTAAGTGGTATTTAGTTCTTCATCCTGTCATTATTAGCCATAACCAAGTTCAGGTTTTTGCTTTAAATTTGGTTCAAATTACTACCAAAAAATATTATGTGTCAAATATTATCTGAATTAAAAAATTTGTTTTTAAAAAAATTGTTTTTAATAGTCTGATTAATGAAAATGTGCAAAAATTAAAAAATTGTGTTTTAGTTTTTTGTATTTAAATGAAAGGAAAAAAGTGTAATTTTGTAAAACTAAAAAAAACAAACTTTAACATATATTTTAGAAGTTGTTAATAAGCCAATAAAATAAATCAAAAATATTCAATAATTTTGCAAATATTCTGCAAATATTGCAAATAAAAATAATTATGCAAAATATTCAATAAATTTGCAAATAACTATTGTAATAAATAGTCTCAACAAGTAAAAGCACCTATGTGTTGAGTTCTATCTTTATATTTGATTGTAAAGAAATACATCAAATATGATTGTTAATGAATAGATTTAAATATTTGTAGTTGAAACACTATTGTTGTATGCTGTATACTTTATTGGAATTATTATTAAATTTATTTGTTACCATGGTTTTATTCTTGTTTATTGATGTAGTTATTATTTGTAATTGATAAACATCTCTTCTAAAGTCCTGGACTCTAATAGAGATGCTAAGTAGTTACAAACAACAACTTCAAAAAGACATTTAGAATTATTATTTTTTGACAAACAAATAAAATTGAAAATCTTAAAAACTTTTTTAGTCTTTTAATCTTAACTTCTTTTAAAAAGTTCACATTGAATATTTGGGTATATATTTCATATTGAATACTTGGGTATAAATTTCGTATTTTCACACAATGCAAAAAGCTAAAGTACAATTATTTGCCTTAATTCTTAGACTTTTTATTAAAAACAAATACATACACCTTGTACAGAAAGTTTAAACACACTTGTTTTTTTTACTTATATAATACTTTTAAGAAACGATATCACAATAAATTAATGAGATATGCTCTGTATTTTTATGTTTATTTATACTATGGCTATAAGTTATTAGTTTAGATATAAAAAAAGTTGTATGGAGCAAATTACTCCTTTCAATTTTTTTAAATAAAATTTAAACGCACTTTGATAAGAAAACATGTAAAACTCGTTTATTGAGAGATTTTTTATTGAAGTCTTTTGCATTTTTATCACTCAACAGCCTGGTAACGTTAGTATATTTCATTTGGATTCCTATTCTTATTTTATTTAGAATAAAAACTACAAATACGATTTGATTTAAAATATAGCAATTTTCAACTGATACAGCTTTGTCAAAATATCATATTTTAATGGGTAAAAAAGCTGTTTTGTCGAAAACAAAATGGCAAGTCATTGGAATGCATAAAATGAAAATAAGCAATAGAGAATTTGGCAGACGCCTTAATATTTCTGAATTCAGTGTTCGTTCAACAACAAAAAATTATTTATCAACTGGTAGTGTCAATGATAAACCTCGTACTGGGCGTCCAAAAAAACTGACAGCACGCGATGAAAACATGCTTTACATGCTAAGCAGGACGTAACCCAAAAGCGGGAGTATCAACTTTAAGTGCAGAAATCAATAGTTCGCTGGTAGTCAAAACAGTTAGTCGAATGACTATAAGTAAGTTATTATGCAAGAAAGAATTAAATTCGCTTCATTGAGTAAGAAAGCGATTGTTGACGTTAACCGATCGCCAAAGACGAAAAAAAATGGTGCAAAGAGCGTTTAAATTATTCAGTAGAACAATGGAAAATGATTATCTTTAGTGATGAATCAAATTTTGAAATTATTAACAGAAAAAACAAGAGATTTGTTTGTCGCAAAAATACAGAAAAAGATTTGAAGCAACACCTATTTAGCCATATTCAAAAAGACGGTGGTTCCGTTGGCATATGGGAATGTATATCAGGCTCAGGCGTTGGCTGTCATAAAATATACGAAGGAAGATTAAACCAGTATGAGTATCGTGACATTTTGGAAAACGCGCTTATCCCTTGTCGCGATTTGTTCCAGGCTGATCAAAACTGGTTATTTCAACAAGACAATTCTCTATGCCATACAGCGCATTCAATCACTGATTATTTCCTTAAAAGTAATATTCAACTTATGCCTTGGCCAGCACAATCACCAGACTTAAACCCAATTGAAAATTTATGGAGCTGGATGGATTATCAACTAACAAAAAAGCAAATAACTAGTCACGAAATGCTCAAACAAGAACTGACCAAACTGTGGCTTGAAACACCAATCAAGATGATTGAAAACTTAATCGAATCAATGCCTAGGCGAATACAAGCATGTATTAAAAACAACGGGGGTTATATTCCGTATTAATATATTTCGATTAAAAGAAGTTGTATGTGTGTTTAAACTTTATTGCACTTTCTTCTAAGTAATCTTTTGATTACTTGAGTTTGTTGTTTAATTTCAGAAAAGATTTTGTGTTTTTCTTATTCAAAGTTGTGTTTTTTTCTTAATTAATAATCGACTAAGAATATTAAAAAAAAAAAAAAAACCTGGACCCTGCTTCATGTTTTCTCTTTGTATCACTTTAAACATACCTTAACTTTTAAAAAAACAAGTGCGTTTAAACTTTCTGTACAAGGTGTATTTTCAAAAGGTTGACTCATTGAAACAAGTAAAAGTTCACTTTTTGAAATAATGTTCTTTGGTGATCCTTCCATAGTCTCTTGAAAATGATGCAAGATTTTTCAACTCACTATTCTTTCATTGCTCCAATTCATGAAATTACAAGTTAAAAATGCAGCTGAAAATAAGTTTTGTATTGATATTAAAAAAACAATTACAATAAAGTTTCATAAATTTGAAATTTTTTTGCTCAGTTTGTTTTAAACTGATAAACAAGATTTAAAAAACCTTTCGTGTCATCTGTGCATCATAAATTTTTTGTGTCAAGATTTCTGTGCCTCATGATCAAACAAAAAGTGGAATGTGAAAAGTGTTTAGAGATTTAGTGGGAGGGAAGTTAAGTGAAACTTTCATTTTAGATATAAAAGTGTATTATATTATGTTATAAAGTAAGTGGAACTAGCTTTCATTTTATGACAAATTTCAGTCTTTGACTGAAATTCATTGAGTTTAGAGTCAATTTAAGTAAAACAGTTTTATTGACAGTTAAACATTTATCACTTTGTCTTGATACCATGATATGACAGTTGAACATGTATCACTTTGTCTTGATACCTTGTCAGAATTTAATTAAGAGTATTTGGGAATGATGGTTTATTTTATTTCCATAGAAATGTGTTAAGTTCTGTAATTCTTTGCAAATAGATAAGTCATCAAATTGCAAAGGTTCATCAAAAGCTGAAGTTTTGCAAAAAAAATGGAAGAAATGTCCAAGCTTTCAATGAACTTTGTAATTTTAGATCAGCTGGATTTTAGACTGATTGTAAAGTGTCTGAAATTTTTAATTTATGTATCATTCTACTCTTTTCTACAATGAACTTTACAGTAAACAAGAAATCTAAATGGATATAAAAAAAAACGCTTGGATTGAAAAATGAAGTTTTAAGCATGCTTTAGTGCTGAGAATATTAGTATAATAATAGTATAATAAGTTGAACTCAAAGAAAAATATTGAAATAGCTTTAAGGTGAAGTCTAAACATTTTTTTTTTAAGCCTGTTTTTTAAAATATGTCACTCAAAAGACATGTTCATTAATTTTATTTTTCAATTTGTGTTTCTAAATTTTTTGCTTGTGAAATATAAAATATAGTTTGCACAATAATAGTTTAATGCAATAATTTTTTGCACATAATTTTTATAATTTATAAAACTTTTTTTATAAACATGAAATTAGTTAACAGGTTTTTTATAAATATGAAAATAGGTAACAGGTTGTTTTTATAAACACGAAAATAGATAACAGGTTGTTTTTATAAACATGAAAATAGATAACAAATTGTTCTTATAAACATGAAAATAGGTAACAGGTTGTTTTCTAACTTTTGCTTATTATACTAAATAATTTTATTGTTTTGTAACTTTTACTTATTCTTAAAAGTTTTTCTGTTTCAAGTAACTATTTTATATTTCATATTTGTTCATTTGTTTCCTTGCTCATTTTTCAGACCTCAACTTGTACGAAAAGGGTTATGAGGGCAATGAAAAATTTTTTACAAATTAATAAATATGTATACACTTTATCTTTATTGTCCACTTTTTAAATAAAAATATTTTTTTAACAATATATTTTTAAAATTCATAGTAGTTCAAAAAGTAACAATTTAGCAAGAGAGTATTTGATGAAGTACAAAACATAAAAAAAATCTGTTTTTATAATTGTTTTAGTCTATATAATGACAATTGCAGAAGATTCATAGCAGAATCAAGAAATGGGATAGCATTTATGTGGCCTAACATTCATAGCAGAATCAAAAAATATGATGTATTTATGTGGCCAAACAGCATTTTCTATAATAAAAAAATTGAATTAAAATTGCGAAAATACATTTTCACATCTTTAAAGTTTTAGTCGCAGTTGGATTATGGAGCGAATAAAATAATATGACAAAATTGAGCAGATAAACAGTTTTATTTCTTTGTTATTTTCTAAAATACCTGTTCAAAATATTTGTTTTGGAATAAATATATACAATGGCAGTTAAAATTGGTCTCTATGTTCTTGAAAAAAATGTGTGGCAATTTTAAAATTGTATACTTACCTTCTTTTTGATACTTTAAAACTTCTTTTTGATACTTTACCACTTCTTTTTGATACTTTACAACTACTTTTCATAGTTTTTTCGTATTTATATTTTAATCAATTAATTAATGAATTCACCTGATTTACTATAAAGTCCCAAAACTCCTACTTGCACTAATGTCCAAGTTCATTAAAAATAAGTTTTATGTATTGATAATAATAAAAATGGCAGCAATTCCGTAAAACATTTAAAAAAGAGTTTACAAATTAAAAAAAGAGTTACTGAAGGTAAATGTGTATGACACAAATAAATGTAAATGTTTCAAGCTAGTTGAAATCGGTACAAACGCCAAATTTAATTTATCAATAGCTTTGGAAATCTTGTGGCTAAAAGAAATTTTAGCAAAAAATGATTGTGATGTATTATCAAGATATTACAATGTGTTTAAAATCCTAATTACCTTTGGAATTTTTGTCTTTTTCATTATTCAGAAAAGAAAAATGGCATATGTAGACTTTTTTTTAAAGTACGTTAACTAAAAGTACGTTTCGCATAAAGCAAGTTTTAAGGGTCCTCACCATTTTATACCATAAACAGGTTTTTCAAATTTTTATTTTAAATTTAAAATTGTTATAGCTTTGCCCTTTGGATGGGAAGAAGTCTATTCTAAAGATGGCCATCGTTACTATATTAAGTAATTGCTGTTTTTATTTGCATTCTTGATAGTAGTATAACTTTATGATTTAGTTTTTATTAAATTTTAATTAATTTTTGTTTACGATTGATGTCCATGATGAATATTATATTAATAATTTTCAATTTCTCGGAAAAATATTCTATAAAATATAATTATTGCTTATATTGTTTAGTCACATGACAGAGACGACGTCATGGGTGCATCCTGTCTCTGGTATTCAACATTAATAGTTTGTTTCAACTTGATAAAACTATAATTTTAATTGTTTTTTTGTTTATTTTATCAAAGATGATTTTTTAGATTCGTTTAATTTTGAATTTGGGCTTTTAATTACTCTTAAAATATTGTGGTTTTTTTTTTTTTTTTTTTTTTTTTCATTCTTTTAATTTTTATTTATATATAATCTGTGACAAAAAAATAATTTTTCTAATTAATGTTGAAAATGAATAAATTGGGTTGTTATAAACTTTTTTTAAATGCATGGAAGTTATTGAAATTATTGTTTGTTTTTTTTTCTTTTTATTTTTATATACGAGTTATCTTCAGCCCTCTTTTTGCCAATGTCTAGTATAGGCAGTTGCTGAGAGGGTTGGGTGTTTGGAGGGTTAGCTGAGCATTCTATTTTTATACAATATTCAAGTAATCATTAGTTTTCATAAAATGGTTAGTATTTTTTTTTTATTCAGATACCAGTAAATTTTAATCAGTAATTTAATAATTTTTCTCGATAACACAAAAAAAAAATCAGCAAACTTAATAAAAAGATCAGTAGATTTATTAAAATAACCAATATATAGTTCTTATAAGTGTGTACATTAGGGCAGGTCGAATTACAACTTTTTTTGGATTTAAGTGTTTGGCATTATGGAAATATTTTCTAAACTGTCCAAAAACACATCCTGGAAAATTTTATGAAATTAAAATAGTTTCTTCATGAGCGATTTTAGATTTGAAGTGGGGTCCTAAGGCTTTCTGCGTAACATTTACTGCAGCGTTGTATTATAAATTCAGGACCCAACTAGTTTACATATAAAGAAATAAAAAGGAAAAAGACTGAAAGTTACTTAGAATTAAAGAAAAACAAAATAAAGTACTCTAAATAAAAAAAAAAGTGTTTCTATGTTAGATATTAATAATTAACAAATTGCTTTTGTATATTCTGGTCCGGATTTTATAAAAAAACGCTAATTTAAAATGTAGAAAATTTGTTATATCAGGGATAAGCAACAAGTAGATTGCGATTCTCATGCTACTCAGTTATTTATATTCCGTGGCTCTCCAGTCTGTCCAAATTACATAATATTTTGATTTAAAACTATATTTCAAACATACTTAAACTGTAATCCTGCGGCTCTTTTTTTAAAATTATTTAAGGGAGATATATTTTAATTATTTTAGGAAAAACCTCACTACATAAAATAGGTTGCCGACGCCTGGGTTATGTAATCGAACATTTGTAAAATAGAAAACTATCCTAATTATTTCAGATGAGTTAAATTTACCCAATAAGTTAAATTTAATAATGATTATTAAAAACCTTTGAAATAACTGTCAAAAGTTGAAATTATATAAAAGATTTCATTTTAAAAAAAATGCTTTTAAAAAAGATCTTTTTATTTAATTAGAAATTATTTTAACAATGTTCAACCACGCGAGGAAATGACTAACTCGAAAATTATTAAACATTTTTGTTAAATTTTATTTTTACATAAACAAATAGCAATAAATTAGTTTTTAAATTATCAAAAAATATCATCATGTCTTACCATAATAACATTTAGACGTAAAACTCTTTCTATGCTTTCTACTTAGAATTTTTTCTAAAATATGCTTATGACGTGCTTCCTTTCCAAAAAAAGTATGAGAAGTCATAAAAACAAGTTGTACAGATCTCTCAACACTCTGTGAATGTGAAGGAAGATCTGGGAGGTCAATTTTTTCTCTAGACAACAACTTTTCTGCAATTTTTTCATTAGTAAAATCTTGAGTTGGTTCATCTATGTCTTCATTAAAAATATTTATGAGCTCATACCATTAATGAGCATTAATGTTAACTTCTGGAATTTTATTGATTCTGTTAATAGCTTGGCCATCTTTTTTACGATTTCTAATAATCGTTCTGACTTTAACATTAAGTACAAAATATTCTCAGGAAGTAAGCAAAAGGAATTGAAACTTAAGTTTACTAAGCAAATATCTTGCACTTCTTTTTCTTGGAACTTGATTTGGCCAATCATAAAATGTATAATTGATGGGGTTTCGTTTAACTTATTGCTCTTTTTATGGAGGAACCATGTAGGAACATAAATTTGGACACCATTAGTTACCAAAATAATTAGTTCAGAATCAGGAACTAGTATTCGAACATATAAAGACACCAACCGTAATGTTGGTGTCTTTATATGTCGTTAACCAACGAGAATGATTAAGAGGACTAATTTTCCAACTTGAATATTTAACACTCATATTTTTTTTTAACACTCATATTTTTTTTAACACTCATATTTCCAGTAGCAATTCCAATGCAATATTCATATAAAAGCCTCTGGTCATTACTTAAATCCTTTAAAATTTTCTTTTCTAAAATAATAATTGGAGACTTAATAACACCAATTGATATTTGCCATTTTACCTATTGGTCCAGCAAAATGGTTTAGTGAATTTGTTGCTCCATCAATTTTTTTAAACAAAGATCTAAAAGGAAGCTCATTCTGATGAAGATTGCAGCCTATAATCTGAAGTTTTCTGCCAAGTTTTTTCTCTAACTCCACAACCATTCCTGCTTTATGACCTGTGTTTGTTGAAGTATTGTCTACCAAAACTCCCCACTGTAAAGATTAGGGAGAAGTTCTTTAGTCACAGTCATGTGATGTTCATTCTCTGTTGATCTCTTTAACACAACCTCACCATCTTCTTTTTTTATTTCTCTTACAACTAAAGTTTCATTATCAATTTTACCGTCAACACCAAGGCAAATAAACTCTTTGTTATTTTCAACAGATTTTAAGTCTGGCAATACTTTAACTAACTTTTTTTGTTTGTCTATTTTGGATTTGTCCAAAACTAAAAATGATATTATTGCTGGATCATTAAACAGTTATGATAGATCGAGCATAAGAGCATTTCCTAATGCAGCTCCAATCGAACTTCCTATATCGTTTCTGATCAATTCAATAGCAAACTTTGAAAACTTCCAAAGATTGTAAATTCCCGATGGATTTCTTTCAGGCTCCCATATCTAAAAGAAAAGTTATGAAGTTCATTAACAAAAAAATTTAATATAAAAAGTGATATGTTAAAAAAAAAAAGTAAATTTAAAAAAATATAAAATAGTGAACCAAATTTCAATTTATTATTTAATTACCTCACTAGTGCTAGATATGACAGATTCTGAATCAGATTCTGGTAATACTATTTCTGGAAGTAAATTAAATTTTTCTTCTTGTAATGATTCTTCCACATTTTTATATTCAGTTTTATGTTTCTTTAAAAATTCTTTTCTAAACCATTCACGATCTACTGAGCCAAGTTGAAATGATCCTTTTGGACCTGACGTTTCTCTCTGGTCTTTTAAATATAACCTTTCTTTTACAGGAATCTAAATATTATTTCATAATATTAAACAACTGCATATGAAATTTATAGTATTAAACTTTATCATACTAGTAATATACTTATGTTAATTTTATCTAAAAATACTTTTATTTTATTTATCTATTATTAAAAAATAACACTTACTTTTTTATCTGGACTACATGTGCATAAAATATAAGTATCAGGACAATTATCTTGACTACATTTTATATTTTTATCATCACAAAGAACAACTTTAAGATCACACGTGCAGGAACTGATATCAAAAAGCCTATCCAATTTTTTAGGTGTTTTTTTCTGTTAATACTTTGCATTTACTTCGGTTAATTAACCTAGATATGTTTAGAAACACTCCGACTTTTTTTTCTACACAATAAGTCGACATTAATGGTAGTCGAGTGTTAACTTTTTTCCATATCATGATTATTTTTTCAGCTATAAGTTTTACAATTACGCTAAAGCAATAACTTGGATAAGTATTGTTAAGAAAATAAAAATCTTGAATCTGTTTGTGGGTGGTTCTGTATTTGCAAGAGGGTTAGGACTTCCACCAAACTTGCTTTTTTTGCAAATTTGTGTTTTTGAAAACATAATTTTTCGTTCTCCAAAATTTTCTTTTTCCCACACAATTATAAGATTTGTTTACTTTGCGGTAATCATTAATTTGTATGAAAATGTTAGTGATAAAGATGGCGTAGCAAAAATTTTTTTAATTAAATATTGTAAATCATTTTAGCTCAATTTAAACTTCATTAAAACAAAAAAAAAATTTTAAAGGACATTTTTTTACATAATAATCAAACCTCTTTATTACAAACCTCTGATTCCAAAATCAACCTGCCCTAGTGTTTTATGTACAAATGTAAAATAAATTCCTCCCCAGTTTCTTTTCATAATTTATATACCTTGAAAGATAAAAATAAATACAATATGAGAAATGACAATTTAGTTCGGCAACCTTTTTTATCAAACTAATTTTGGAAAAACAAACATTGCATTTCGCGGAGCTTTTCTTTGGAATAAAACAGTTTTAAAACATTTTGACTTTTCTCTGGAATGGAGTTACCTTTCATTGAAAAATAAACTTAAATAAATAATTTTGTTTCTGGATAATATATTTTTATATTTTTAAACGTTTAATAATTTCATGTAATATTTGATGTATTTATGCTGTAAAGTTTTTATAGAGATATACAACTATATTTGAATATGATTTATTGAGATTGTAAAATACGAGCGGTTCTCGATGACAAGATTTTTTTTTTTTTTTTCAAAAAATACTCGAAAAAATCATGTTCAATATAGAATTTTTTTCAATTTTTCTAAGGTATTTGATACTGTCGATCATGATATTTTGGTTTATAAACTTAATTATTACGGAATAAATGAAAAAGTAATTAAATGGTTTCAAAGTTATTTATCTAACAGAAAACAATTTGTTTCTTGAAATGAACTTAATCATAAACAGTTTGTAAATGTTTTCTGTGGTGTTCTGCAAGGTTCCATCTTAGGCCCTCCTTTTTTATTAATATATATCAACGACTTGCCTAAAGCATCAAACCTTCTAAGTATTATGTTTGCCGATGACACAAACTTATTTCTCCCTAACAGTGACATCTATCGACTATTCTCCATGATGAACAAAGAACTTCAAAACATATCTAAATCGCTTAAAAGTAACAAATTAAGCAAAACAAAATGGATTTTTTTCCACCTGCTCTCCAAAAAACGTTCTCTATCCCAAATATCTACCAAAAA